CTAAGTTAGCATGCCAAATTGGTTGCTTATTACAGCTGGCACAGTGCCTTAGCAGGCTAATGTGTTAATAATGTGTAATGTTTCTCTTAGGCAGTGGCACCACTCTTCATTAGCGCGTCTCAAGCCCTGTCACTGTTGCTTAGCTCGACATTTTGTTTCTGATGTTCGAGTGAGGGTATTTGAAATCAGGGTTTCAGATCTGCTAATACATGTCACACACTCTTTAAAAATGGATTTTAAAAGGGCCTCAATAATTTTATGGCTACTAATAACATTTGTAGCTATGTGAGCTAAGCTAATGATAAGAGTAATCAAATTTCATGTTTCACGGCATAAAATGAGCAACTGTAGGGGTCAGGAAGGTATTCACTCCCTGCCCTCCTCCCCTGGGAACCACTGTCTTTTCCGGTTGGTTCAGTAGATGAGCAGTGTTTGGGATGTGAAATAGCACGGTGCTGCAGGGAAGTTCAGGGTCTCGCACTGTACATGGCAGGGGTCTTATTTATAAGCATCAGAATTCTGGTTTCGGTTGGCAAACGGAGCAAAACATTTGAATGATTGATTTGTTTTACACTAATTATATTCCACGTTGGCGTCAAATACACGAGGCTGAGTTTCCCCTTTTTTGTGGCTGTTTGCTCGAGTCCCCTAAATTGGACATATGAGCCTCATACATCTGAGTGGCCCCAGCACGGCCACATAACCTACATCCTAATTTTTCAATCAAATAGGGTGCTCGTTTAGGCTCTCCTCTATGTTTTCATTCTCTGTATTAGCAAGTTTGTTTAGAGCATTGCTTTAACACTGAGAATAACTGCGAGAGGCATCCGAGAGAGCCTGGAGTCATCAGCAAACACCTTCCTTTGCAGGTACCACCAGAAGACCACAGTGGGATTTGGCAAGGCAATAACCTGTTTAACTAATGTCTGGTTTTGATAATGACTTTCAGTCCCTTGTTTTGCCAAATAGTGCCTAGAGCACTTTCCAGCACCCATACTTTTAGTGTGATGTGTTTTCTAAAACCTTTTAGTGCATTGTGCCAGTGATGCAGTGATGAGCCTAAAAGGCCTCACTTAACACAATGTGTAATAAACCAGATAGGGATGTGCTGAATAAAAAAATCCAGCAGGGACAGTCAAAAAGCTCTCTGTGGTTTTTTAAGCAGAAAAACTGCTTTAATTAAAAAAAATTAAAACAAGAAAAAAAAAAGGAAAAAGAAAAGGAAAAAAAAAAAAGATATTTTCCAGAAAACCTTGGCATCAGGCTTTGCCAAAGAGCATTTCTTTGAGGCTTGGAGTAGATTGCCATGAGGAGGGGGCTTCCTGGTACATCAGGGAACATAATGAGAAAGGCTGAAGTTAAAGACCCTTTAATTGAGGCCTTCAGAATGGTAAGTATAACACTTCATTGCTCTGTTTAGGGGATTTTGAGTATCTCTACCATCAAGGCTACATTTGTCTGTAGGATTAATCACTTTTTGATCCAGAGGGTTTAAGACAGACAGCTTACTAGGAATGTGCTGCATGGCTCTCCCAGGCTGGCAATTAGCTTTGTTTCTTCATATTGTCTTGTTTATTATGCCCTTCTCCATCTCTCCATCTTTTTTTTTTTTTTTTTCCCTGACCATCATGTTAATATACTAATTAATTTTTATTCCATTTTTAGCTGTGCTTTTTGGGGATTTTTTAACAGAGGACTTTTATTAAAATCTCTGTGTCAAATACAGAACAAGAAAAACTACTGCTGAGCAGGGAACAGGTTTGTATGTAGATGACACTGTAAAGAAATCCTTGGAGAAACTCAAAGACATAATTTCGCTCTATTTAAGGGCTTTAACTCTTGAAGCTCTGAGGTTCTCCTACTTGCTGGAAAATCATCAAGAATCTGAACAATGCCCATTACCACTTAACTTGAACACGAACAGGCTTCTTTGGGACATTGTACCTCACAGAAAGAAAAAATATGTCCTGGAGCTGTGTGTGTGTGTCCACTCAGGAAGCTGTTCCCTGTTCTCAACAGGCTGTTTTCTCCTACATATCACTGGCCCTGAATGGCAGAGAAAACACATGCTCTTATGCCCATACTCCTAGTCCTCTATGGGCTAGCACAGAAGATGGAGGATGCCTTTATTTCCTTCTCATGTGTTCTGTTTGAATGGAGGGGTCAAGCATGGAGGGGTTTCTGAGCTCTAGACCAAAAATATCCATCAAGACCATGGCTAGGAGGTATCCATGTGCAGTTCTCACATGGGATTACACATGTATGGGACCTGTGAGCTGTCAGCAAATAACACAGCACTTGGCAAAGTCCCCCCAGACCTGGCAGCTTGCTTTGTGGCTGGAACCAACCCAAATGTCCTTGAACACAACGTAAGGGCTCGGATCTTTTCTGTTTCCAGATGAGCCTCTGCCCTGAATCTACTGGGTGGCCTTGGTTAAGCAAGTTCACTGCTCTGCATCCATTTCCCGCTTGGGAACCCGCAGGAATGATGCTGACCACTTTTATACAGCATTTTTTTATACCCTGAGGACAAGCACAATCTCAGGACTGCATATTGTTGTGTAGAACAGCGCTCAGTTGATGTAACTACAGCATACCAAGCCAAAGCTTATTGAAATACATGGGACTGCAATGAAATTACTTCGGTCAGTTTTGGATCAGATGCTCAAAGCTGTAAAATTTTTTTTGACCTTCTGACATCCCCAGTGTGAAGTTACTAGCACAGTCAGAGCTGGATGCAGCACGAGCCACGCTTTTCTGTCACAGGCAGTTTGTCTTCCTTTTTCCTGGCTCTTCTTTTAATAAATGTAACTTTTTCTCCTATGGCTCAGGCATTGTGTTGAACCGCCCCGACAAATGTTCTCAGGTTTTTAAAATATTCGGTATTAAAGAGATCAGGCCAGATGTGTTCTGCTGCCTTCATCACTCTAGGTTGTGTACTCTGTGTTGAAATGATTATTGTCATCACCCGGTGAAAGGCAGCTGATGAAAGACTCTCTCTCCCTCTGATGAGCTATCTCTCTGCCCCTGCCCAGTGCAGAGTGCACAGGTTTTGTTTTTGAATGATATATTGCTGTGTCAAAGTGGCTTATGTGCTGCTTAAACTTACGCTGGTGAATGATAGAGAGTATGCATTAAACAATCTCACTGCAATGGGAGCTGTATTTTCTCATCTCCATCTTTGGGGGCCAATCCCCGCTCTGTGAGCCCAGCAGGGACTCCCCGACAGGATGTCTGGGTATATCTGCCTTCACACTGGACATTTTCAAAGGAATACGATTGGATACCAACCATTTTAAGTCTTTCTAGACGACAAGATTGTCCTTTTTTTCCCCACTTTATTCTGTTGATGAAGCAAACTGCTCTACATAACACATTTTGAATGTTTTGGGTTTGAGTACCTTTCTCATAGAACATTTTCTGTTCTCAGGTAGTGTAGCTTTGCTTTTCCCACTTGTCCCCCTTTTACTCCACTATATTCCTATTTTTTCCAATTCTTTGCAAGGTTCATCAACAATAGCTAAGAAGGGATAGAAGAAGGGGAAGCTGTAATATTTCCATTTTGGGTCTATTGCCAGACTCCTAAATCATCTCCCAAGGAAAGGTTTGATGAACAAAACATATTAAAAACACCACTTTGCCTTGAAAATCTTTCGAATGGAAAACTCAGTTCTCAAAGCATTCCACACTTCCACAGTCCTCCAGTGTTTCTGGTAAATTCCAGCCTTGCTGAGCAGAGCTCATAACATGAATAAGACCTTTCCAAACAACTGAGAATAATTAAAAAACCCAAGGCGCAGACATTTTCCCCATGTAGTGACACAATCAAATACTTAACCAAAAATAATGTAATGAAAAGTCTAGGTCACAAAATGGAGTACTGCAGCCTGGAAAAATAGTTTTCTGACCTTCTGGATTTCCTCTATTAGAGCACTACAGTGCAGTGAGCAAACCCTATTTCTTACAACAAAGAAATTTAGCAATCTGCGAGGCTGTGTCACCTTGCTGGCAGAAACACTGAGCGGCAATAGTGCTGAAAGTCAACACTAATAGCTGACACCAAATTAAACTGCCAGAGTTTGTGTGATGTAGTTCTGTCACCCTTTGACACATTTGATGTGAATTCAGAGGCTTCTGCTGTAAACTCATCAGCAGAGCTCATGACGCATCATCTTTACATATCTGTCCATCCACATTTGTCAGCAAACCGTGAGCCTCAAATGACTCCAGCCATTGGGATATAGATTGCTTTACCTTCACGTATAGTAAATAGAGTGTTTTAACACTTGTGATACCCTCAGCTCCAGCTTTTAACTGACACAGTCTTGTTAGCTGCGCTTCAGCCTTTCTGTGTCCACGCTGAACATGGTGATTGATGAGGGCTGATTATGGCAGTGGGGTGGCCCATCCCTTCTTAACCTGTGGCTCAAATCATCTCCAGTTTGCCCATGCAGAAGAGCAGCAGGCACACTCCTAAGTGTCTTCATGAAGTGCCTGATTGAAAGGCCACAGCCAATTAGGTTGAGCTGAAATGGACACTTGCAGGATGTCTTTGCCTCTCAATTTGCCGCGTGGTGCCTGCAGAGAGCAGGCACTAAAAAAGTGCTGATAGCCCTCACGTCTGCTTCACCCAACAGCTCTCAAACCTGGGGCTGGTGTTTCAGCCCAGGAAACATGGCAGGGTGGCTGTGCCCTCACTGCGCAGTCTTGGACTAGAGTTGGCCCCAGCAATCTGGGGGTCAGATCCTGATGCAGCACACGGTGCTCACAATGCATGTCATGGTGTTGAGGCAGTTGTTCACTAATGACAAATAAATAACCTCCCCCCAGAATAACATTGCATTTCAAAACACAAACAGCCCCCCTTGTGTGTTTCTCTCTGGGCGATCTGAAAGGGATTTCTAATGTTTATTTTTCTGTAAACCATCTAGGGTTTTTGTAGTTCCAGACTGATGTCTTTTGGTTAAGAGTTCTAGTTTTTCAACTAATTTTGGACTTACTGAGGTCTCCTCAGAAGACGGGGGGGTCTCCTCAGGTGATAGTGTCTGTGTGAGCACTGGACTTGAAGTGATGGTCTGAGCAAATGCTGAAGAGACTCACCAGATCTGTGCCATACTTGTGTCTTCCCTATGTACCAGAAAGGAAAAGGAACTGCACTTTCTGTTTATGTCTCAATGGTATTTAACATACTTGCAAACTTCAATAGCATCTTATTTGCCACATATTGCCCTGGCATGTTTAATATCATGAGTAATTTTCTTCCACTGACTAGCTTTGCCATCAGTGTGAATTACCATGGTGAAAAAACTGTGCTGAGACTCACAGGAGGAACAAACACACCAAGAACAATAAATCTGATTTTTCTTTTTATAAGTCTATTTTAACATACAGTTTAAAATACTAGCTTCATAAAGTAGTATGCATGCAACCATTCTTATTCAAGTATGAGCTGTAACAGAATGGGAATAGAAGCATGATACACTACAATAAAAACCACTCTATTTTCACCCAGTGTCTCCAAATCTCCTGCTAGTGTAAAAACATTGCATAGTGTCCCATATTCTAATAACCCTTTGCACCACTAAAATTATTTCCAAAATATGGTAGTAGAAGATTACATTTGCTCTGGAAAATTCTAAACTCCATGAATTTGTAAAAAAAAATGAGAAACAAGTAAGAGCTTTACAAATATTTCCCATCAACTGCTATTGCTGCTTTGTGACCTGCTCCATTTGGACACTGCCGTGGAGTGCCACTCTGTGTGGTGGAAGCAGTTTGAGATCTCAGACCCAGCATCTGAGATTTAATTTGACGCCTTGAACATCATACTCTTGTCCTCTGGAAATGTCTTTCCTTGTTAGGATTCGTCTGCAAGAACTGAGTACTGCATCAAAACCCAACTTGGAAACAGACAGTTCTTTCCTTGGTGTGGAGTTGCTCCCATTCCAGGTTCCTCAGGAATACCTGGGTGGTCAGGAAGGGTCTGAGTGGCCAAACTGATGCAGCTGAGAGACAGAGCCACAACCAGCACAAGCCTTGAGCCCACTCTATCTTGGGGCATCTGGGGCTCACTCCACATGCAAAGGGGATTGCAATGGAAATGCTGACAGCTCTTCATAACTATATTACCCAGACACCTCTGTAACTACTGTACAGAGGCTTCTAGCATGCAAACAATATTAGGGTGCCTGACTTTGATCTGCCTGTGTGGCAAAGCTCCCAAGGACAGGAAATCATCGCTTCTCTTCACACATTTTAAAACAATTAGTTTTACTTTCAGCAGTTTGCAGTTACTTACAAACAGCAGCACCAATCAGACTAATTCAGTGCTTATTTTAATTTTCAGATTTCCTGTTTATAGACTGTAGCATCCTGATGCCCAGTGACTAGAGCTGTCTCTGCAGTGTCCCAGGGAGGAGAAACATTAAACCTTCACCTACAGAAACTATTTATAAATGCACCTGACTTGGGCTTTTGTGTCATGTCATCACTGGGACCAGGGCTGTTTGTCCTTTCTTGCACCTTCCAGGTCGCCAGCAGGGAAATGTAATTCCCTGTCTGCAAAGGGACTTGTTCCACCTGCTGTATTTGGCACCCTCTGAAGTAATAACAGTGTAAGTCTTATGAGTACATTTTATGGCACTCTTAATCAGGTGAATGTTTAAATCAGATGAGTTAAAATGGATCATGAGATGCAAAGCAGCCATCTCTGACATCACTTGGACTTGGCCAGTACACCACAGCATCCCTGCAACTGCACTGCTTGTATGAGCAGTAACTACTTGGAGATAACACTACATGACAAGCAAAAACACAGCAATTAGAAACAGTCCTCTACTCCCCCTAAACCTCACCTCCAAATGCTAAACCATGGGAGCAGTAAAGGGCACAACTCGTGTGAGGCAGGCAGTGGTGACCAGGGAAGTGATGAGGCCCAGGGAGGTGTTCTCCACTCAGCCTTCAGCTCTCAGTGTGGTAACTCTACCCTGCATTTTCTCCCCCTTGGATGCAGTCTCCAACCCAGTGTGCAGCAGCCCAGTAACAGTTGTCTCACACCCAGCCACGAGGTAACTGAATTCAGGGTGGTTGCCTGTCCAGGACCAGTTGGGTTGTGTGCATGGCAGATGGAGGGCTTCACAGCCTTGTCAGAGAAATATTTTAAAAAAGTAATTTAAATAAGTTTTCTGGATAATTAGATATCGTAGCACCCTCTTCTGGCTTTCTGCACTCCCTGGATTGTGGCCGCCTCTCTCCTTTGAGACCATTTGGCTCACCTGGGTTTGCTGTTCACGGTTTTGGAGTTGCATCTGTCCCGGTCCTCTCCCAGTTTCTATAACCACATGACTTTCTAGGAGAACCACTCCTCAAACGTGTGTTTCTCACACCGAGTCCCTTCACAATTAACCTTTTTGTGCAACCTTTTTAGAGCAAAATCTCCTTTCTTATTTTTTCAGTTGGTGACCACGGAAAAAAAAACCCCTTACTTGGCACATTTTGTACAGTTCTGACTGTACTGCTGTGGAGAGAGTAACTGTAAACCCACAAAACCAGAAGGAGGGATCCTGTGTGAGGAGCAGGGACTGCCACAGCTGGCAGAGTGGCCTCAGAGAGCAGCAGAGTAGGGAGGGCCCCACCACCCTCAGTGCTGCCACTAAGTAGTTGGGGGCCTTCACACTGGTTTTGGGGGGTGCTTCTCCCTCTCCTATGTCCTCGCTGTGAACCCAAAACCAAGCAATTATAATTCATGATATGGGTGTGCAAAATTTTCTCTAAGAGCTAATTAACTGTGAGGGCTAATATTTCTGGTTTAGGGTCCACACATGCCATTATATCATTATAAAATAAACTCTAGAAAAATAATGCACTTTTAAAATAAAACATTGCTTTCCTTTTACCCAGTAGGTTAAGGTACTTTGTTGCTTGTTACCAGCTTTAAATTTTTTATGTCAGGGTGAAAAGCAATTTTTTAATTATAATTTTAATGCATTTGACCATATTTCATTATGATACATTTTAAAACCAACTTGTAAAGGTATCACAAGAAAATATGTCTATTCCATAGGAATATCTGAACCATAAGAACACAGTTGAAATAACATAGTGCTTTTAAAAGAGCCAATTGTTTATTTCAACTGGGATATTACATCTGTCATTAGCACGTGTGAAATATTTGTTGTATTATTAGGAAAGTTTTGAATTAACCGGTTTCAAAGATCTCAGAATTTACAGGAACACAAGGTACCAGGTTACAGCTCCTCTGCTGCAGGTCTGGTGGCAAAAATCATTCTTAAATCCATTTTAACTACTTTCCCTTGCTTTCTGCCTTCAGGTGACAAAGCCACCCCCCTGCCCCGCACCACCCCACATCCTTCACTTTATTCCCTCGGGGTATTGGACAGGTCAAACACTTTGTAAGTGGAAAGGGGATTATCTTTGCTTTGCAGGCTTAACAGATGAAGAGTAGAAATCATCACCACATCCCACTAGCAGCCAGCTGGGAGAGGAGCTGGGAGGTGCAGGAGGAAGGTGCTGTCAACACTCAGGGTAGCAGAGGGGCTGGTTGAGGGTCCCTGCTTGCATGGGGGCATCGTGGCCTCCCTGGGACACACAAAGCAGCTGTTTGCTTGGGTGCTGCTGCTGTGGCTTTGTGTGCTCTGAGCCCAGCCAGGTTACAGACACTGGGCCTTGGGTTCATGGACTGTCATTTGACTATCATTTTTAGTGCCAAGACTGTGTGTGGGCAGAGAACACAGCAGCCAGGCTGAGGAGTTTTCCAAAGACCGCTGATGTGACTGGCTGCTCTGCAGCATTGCCCCTGTCAGCATGCACCTCTCATGATTGCGGGCTGCAGGTTGAGCTGCCTACTTGGAGCTGAAATCACTTGGCAGATGTTACCTGTACTAAACTCTGTGGATTTGTTGAGGCTGCAGCTTTGCTTTGTCTTTCCTGGCCTCAATCCTATAGAATGACCCATATCTGTCCTCACTCTCTCCTTGCAAAGGCAGCAAAACTGTTGAAGTTATTTTTTTCCATTTTGGCTGCCTGGCTCAATCTATGGGGCTTAAAAACCCGCTTAAGCCACAGCATACTCATAGATCAGTGATGGCAGCACGGCTGCTCTGACAGCAACAGGAGATCACAGTGAGTGTACTGAGGCGACACACATGCAGCACCCAAGAAAAATGTTTTTCTACCAAGGGGATGCTCTGAAGCTGTGAATGAAAACACAGCTTCATCACCCTCCTGAGCACAGAGTTAGTGGGAAAAACTGCTTAGATGCTTGGCAGTCGGACAGGAGAGCCTCTTGAAGAGCAAAAGAAGAAAGGACCGGGATGGATATAATGAGGTTTTGATCAGCACAAGTAAAGCATTATCAGTAGCTTCTTCAGCTATGAGGAAAAAAGAGGATTGCAGAGGATATTACAGATTTAGATCTTCCTTTGTTATTTATACCATGAAACTTGGACCTCCCTCAACCCTAAGCCAAATAAGAAGTCTCTGACACTTTGTATTTCCTTAACAGCGTCTGTGCCAAGCTCCTCAAGACTCTTAAAAACATCTCTTTGAAGCAGGACTCAGAGGTAGTACTTACTCAGACCTTTGGCTTGGTACTGATGCTCACTCAGCCCAAATCACTCCTCAGCCCCTTTTGGTGGCTGCTTTTTGGCATATCTTGCTGATAACTCAGTATAGCTTATACACCTAATATGTCTAATCAGGTGCTTTTCTCAACTGTCTCCCTTTAAAATGGTTTAGAGCAGGCATTTTTTGATATTTCTGCCTCAGATTTTCCTCCACCTTTATACCACTCAGCTAACCTCCCTGCTGAGTGTGTGAGCCCCAGAAGCCAGTGCTGGGGGAGCACAGCTGACAGGAGGCTGCTGCCTTAATAGAAGCAGCAACAGCCTCCAGGAGCATGACACTTTCTCCCTTTCAGACAAACATCTCTTTCCCCATTTATGGTGGACCAAAGGTCGAAGATAGCAGCTCTACCACTTCCAGGGCTCTGCTGAAATTTTATGCCCTGGAATTGCTGTCAAGTTTAATGTTCACATTTTATATAATGAAATAGCAATTGTTCCAGCTCTGCAACCTGCATGAATTCACACTGAAAAGATCAAAAATTT